GGATCAAACATTAACTTGTGAATAGTTACACGTTAATGTTAGGCGGAATCTATGGGAGATAGGAGTTGAAGGAGACTGGATTTTGTTGGCCCAGGACAGGGTCCGGTAGAGGGCTTTGGTTAATTCGGTGATGAACCTTCGGGTTCGGTAAGCCATCTAGTTAGTTAGTTAGTTAGTTTATACTGAGGTAATCTTGTGGATTTCGGAGCATCATCAATCACGCCCTCAAACCTGGGAAATTATAAAAACAATTTTGGTTGCCTTACTAGCCACTAATAACAAATTGAAAATCTGCTAATGTATCATAAAAATCAATCGGATGAAGATGGATGTACAGCCAACTTTCGAATCACTGTGTATGTTATAACGAACAATGTACAACATATTATTAGAATAATAAATCTAGCACTGTCACAAAATTTGCAAATAACTAATAAATTTTAAGATAGCTATCTTGTGGATCTTTGCAAATAACTAATAAATTTTAAGATGGCTATCTTGTGGATCTTTACGCAGTGTAGTCTGGTAGAAGTTTACCGACGATTCAGAGGTCTTGCTGCCTCTATTATCAGAGCGATGAATAAGCCGTACGAGTTGAAAGCGCTAGGGTTGTAGGAACCGGAGAGTTAAGGAATAGCCTGATTCTGACACCAGAATTGAGTGGATAAAGCGTAAATAATAACTGACGTATTAGAATTACACAAAACACATCTGGAGGTTACTGATAATGCCTGTTGGCTGAAGTTGTGTTTCAAAATGTAAGACTGAAGAACATATCGAAATTATACGTGTTTGCACGGAAATATCTATCATTTGTACTGAGAAGTATTTCTAAGGAATTACAACTGCCATTCGTGATTCGAAGCAAATGCCAACCATGTAAAATATCAGATAAACATATACTCAATTATATATTATTTTCCTCAGGGCAGAGAATGATTTTCTTTCCAACACAACTAACAAATTTGTTACCATTACACCAACTACAAATTCTGATTTTATAAGAATATATGAGATATAGAGAATGTTAACTATGCTATATTTTCCATCAACACATTATATCCTATAAATACATAAATGTGATCGTATTCACAACAAGTTTTAACGTAAATGCGCCATTATCAGGACACAGAAACGTCCTTCGGCCAATATACTTGCTAAACGCAAACTTTCTTTGGTAAATGTTTTTGTTAAGGTTCCATTATTCGTATTTGAAAATATAACGCCGCTGTAAACAAAACGACTTCACAATACAAAAACAGAAAACGCTAGTTTGTTAACACTGGACCCTTAGCAATCCCCAGTTTAATCAAACTTTAATTTTTTTCGGAAACAACTGACAAAAACTACAAAATATGATAAACATGTCTACTTGATGAGCATTTATGGCATGAATATAATAACAGCGAGATTTATGGTCATATTTCCAAAACAACAAACGTAGCTCTACTAAGTTGGGTCCTACACGTTCCAGTACTTTCCAACATATTTCCTAACTGGAACTAACGTTGAATGAAGAGTTCACTAAAACACGTTATTCTTCCATGGCAAGAAGAGGAGGTTGTAGAATACTACACACTGCCTATCTCCTCACCAAATAATATAAGGGTGATATGCTTAAGGAGGAAAGGACGGGTAGGCCATGCATCACGCATGGGGAGGCTGAGAAATATGTACAAAAGTATAAAAAACTGAAGGTAAGAAAATATTTGGGAAACTTGGAGAATGTTCGGAGTATTGTATTAAATTTTAATTTAAACAAATAGGGTGTGAGGATGTAAAATGGATTTAGGTGGCTTTGTAATCCAGTATCAAGCTCTAATTGCACGGTAATAAACCTTTGGGATTCCATAAAAGGCTAGAAATGCAGTATCAAGCTCTAATTGCACGGTAATGAACCTTTGGGCTTCCATAAAAGGCTAGAAATTGCGTACGTAGCTAAACACCATGGAGCCTAGCTGTTTGTCGCACGAGATGGGAGAGAACCAAGGATTGTCTCCTAAGACAGTCCGACCGACGACTGAAAGTACTGTTTACCCGAAGGGTTTTAAAGAGGGCGCGATCCCTAAACAGTAAATTCGTACAAGCTATAAATTTCTTGAGTGATCCAGAAAACAAATTTCGTTTTGCTTTCACAGGCATTTATGATTTTCGGATGCCAAGAATCCAACGAAGGAAGAAATCGATACAGGCGTTCTGACAAGAGTACTAATATTACATTATAACGTGTTAACATTACATGTTAAATATATTTATTTTGAAGGGCCCCTCTTTAATAGTTACGTGTAAATCTTCAGAATATGATAGCATACATCTTAAACCAGCGCTTTAAGAAATATTACTCTGGTCCTGAGATTTCATGCCAGTGGCGGGCTCTTGTTAACTCGGCAATGAACCACAAAAGACGGGGCATTTGTCGACTACTTGTGCAACTACTAGCTTCAAGAAACATGTAAAAACGCCGTTCGCATTGAGCCAACTCAGCACAGCGTCCAGAACCAAACTTATATACACCTTGAAATAGGCTACGACCTTCAGATTCCAGCAATATCATCCAGTTAGTATTATATTACACACGCATAAACAGCGCACACGTATGCTGTGTGGGATACGTGATGTGTTACAACTGAAACTTGCTCAGATTTTCATTAGTCATCGATTTCAGTGCAAGCGGACAAGTGACGTCTGGACATTCAAAGATAAATGCAAGATAAATTTGTATTTTACAGTGCGGCGTCCAAAACATGTGAGGAACAATGAGTGAGTGTCTTCAACAAATCCGATCTCACACTTTTATCATTTGCATTGATAGTTACATTACAACTTCTTAAAAACAAGGAAATGGCGACGCAGTATGTCCGGGTCAGATGGCCACACACGGCAGTCACCGGCATTTCAGTACAGGGGCTGGCTGGCTTCAGGGTGGAAGGCCGCGGGCGATTCCCGGCAGAGCAGAGTTTCTTCGCCACCGGATGTCGAGCTCATCCATTTCCTATCCAGTGGGTAGGGGGGGATAAAGATGCTGGAGCTTCAATTCTACTCGCAGACGAGCTTAAGAATGCCCCACTGAAGACCTCTCACCTCTGTGTTTCACGTTAGACCGATCCCCTGTACATCTGTCCATCAAAACCCGAGACGCTTAGCCCAGACGATAACGTGCGATCCTTATCCAGATACACTCGGTTCGTATCTCTCTCTGTTCGGGCATCTGCATCGTGCCTGACATGCCCCTTCTCTCCACGCGAATGCCAGGCCAGTGCCTTGAAACAGGACATGCTTGCCACCCTACAACATAATAATTATCTCACTCCTTTCAAACATAAATAACGCCTAGGCTTCAGATTGCATCGCTAAGTAACGCAATAATTAGGTATTAAACCAAAATTTTGAAATATTAATTACACCATCACCCTTTTTTACATATTTAAAATGTAGTAGTGAACCCAATAATTCGAATAGTCTCTATGGAGTAAATTCGTCGCTGAAAATCTAACAGTCGCTCAGGTAATCAAGAAATATAACACCACCCTCCCGCTATAAAACCTTACCGTCTGCACAAGAGCTAAGCATTGGTCCACGTCCTGATCAAATAAACCCTGGCCATGGTCATTCACTATCTGAGTTTTGAAACAAACTTGTGTATTCATTCCTAATATCTCCCACACGTACTACATGCATCACCCATTTGATTTTCTTAGAATTAGCATCAGCATCTTAGAGACAAATATTCTCAACAACCTGTCCGCAGACACTTTTACGGCATTTTCTTCGCTTTACCCGAGAGCCAAAGTTTAACGCGGATAAGAAGAAACAGGTTAATAAAATTACATATTATGATAACATAAATTATGTTTCTGATATAATACAAATGTGAATACGAGTATATGACGTGGAATATCTGTTATGCATCTAGTGTATGTAGCACTCCTTAAAGTATATATATTGTATTTATTTATCTGATTAGTACAGCCTTCAAGGAATATTTTCTGCACGTTCTGTATAAATCTATACTATTCATTAACATGGTAACATCAATGCGAGACAAATCGTCCGGTGTGAAAGGACATCTATACAGAAAAATCTCTGAACCAGTTCGAGGTGTGGTTCTCCATTTTGGCATGTCGTCTGACCGGATCGTTTATGTAATTAATTGGCTATTCAGGTCCATTTATCGTAGCAGACACTCACTAAAATAACAGAACCAACAGCATGTTTCTGTATTCGTATCCTATAGTACATTTAGGGTAAAAACAACTGTTCTTATATTAGCTTTTTTTTTTTGAAAAGTTAACATAATTGTTAAGAATGTCAGTAAAATGTCAAAGTAGAACTCAAGAAATAATTACGATTAAATTCCGAGAATGTTTGGTACCATTATGCTTCTACCAGACTACACAGTGCTACAACCCTAAATACATCATACTCTTATCCGTGAGGACCTGAAATAGCACTATGAATATAAGGTTTAGGGAATAATTAATTACGGTGGAAAAATTGGAAAGAATGTGAATATGGGGGAGGAAAAATAATTGTAAACAAAATTAAAGAAGAAGAAGCAAGGTGATGTACGTAAATAACTTAAGATAATTCCAGGAGACAAGGAAACAGAAAAAAAATTATCACAGAAACAGAAGGGAAGAATCACAAATATATATATGACCCGTAAGTGTATCGTGGCAATAGTTGTGATGCTGTATAGCTTAAGTATTTGCGCGAATAACTTATAGTTAACTTCACTTCCTCATCAGTCATACTGTGACAAGCACGTGTTCTAACTCAATGACCTAAAACGAGGAAGTGTTCACATATCGAGACCGACTAAAGATTATAAAGAAAGTCGAAATATCTCTGTTCCGCTGAAACCTACGCATGATTTATAAAACACTAAATACACTTGTGTTACATCACAGTAGAATGACGAAAAATTTATTCCTTGTTTCGTTACATGTGAAAGGAACACGAAATATATCCTGATCCTTAAAATGGATTTGTCCGCCTCTGACTATGAAACTCGTTTACAAAGAAACAACGGGAATGGCTAATCATTAGACACAATTCAGCCTTCAATACACAAACCTCAGAGAAGGCAACAAGGAGTTTCTGAAGGCATGGGTTTGATCAGATGTCTTAGCCAAGAATTGTCGTAGTGGAGGTTATAGCAACTAATTTCTAGAATTAAGTAGGTTGCCGATTTCTGCATGGAACATCCTACAGGTATCGTCTGTGTCGAAATATTCTGTGATGTGTGCCCGAAGTTAAACATCTTATTTTAATTAAATTACAGAAGAAATTCATAACCGAGAAACTAATATTTCATACTGTTATATTTATAACAACGCAACGTTCAACAATGTCCAGTCTTAGATATATGTTATACATGACGTTTCGGAACTTTGCATCTTTGTTGACGTTATATGTTACTTCATACCGGAACACTGTGTAATTATGTTTGATGTCAATGTTAATATTATCTGTGGCGTCTGGAACGAAATATCTAGAAAATTAGACCAATTTGCTCACGCTCCGAAAGCATCAAATCATGTATAATTAATGTTGAGCACACTTTGGAGTGTTTTGGAGTCTCCATGCAATGCCTATATTTTAAGAACGGCACTTAAAATACTTCCAAATTATGACTAAAAATGTTTTAAGTTAATTATAAACCACCATGTTTAAATAAAATGATATTCAATTGTTTCAACATTATCACAAGAGTACGAAGTATTCTAAAGCATAAACCATAAAAATTGTGATGAGATATTGCTGAAATAAGAGTAATTAATATAATTTACATCTAATCAGCATAAGGAAGAGTTGTCAGAATCGATTACTCTATAAGATAAATAAACGACTAACTTTTTGATGATTATTTTCTTCAGTCGCTCAACTGCTAAGACTAATAACCCTGTGCCATTAATTTATTAATCTTGGAATACAAAATCTTTCTACAAACAATAAATTCGTTAGACTAATTCACGTGATTATTGCTCTAAATTTATAAGTTATGTATTTCCACTTTTTAGTGTAGAAAATGTTATCGGCTCGTTTTATACATCCAAACACACCGATTAAAAATTCTAGTTTAAACATTTCATAAGATATATTTCTTTTTCATTTTATTACATAATACAGTTGTCACTTCTCATTCGCTAATTCACTATTTTAAGGCGAACTCTCAGCAATAATTATATTGTTTGTTTGGGGGGTAGTACGGTTTTGGCACCGTGTAGACTTATCGGTACATGCCAAAGTTTCGGAAAAAAAGTAGGGGTAAAATTGGAGGCAGTATTTCTTCTATACTCTGGCATCTACCGACGAGTCTACAAGGCGTTAACCCCCCCCCACCAAATCATCCTCACCACCGCGATAAAATTGAATCTTTCATAAATAAGTCATCAGGAATATTTTATAACGTGTAACTAAATACGAGAGCTGAGATACGGACTTAGCTGTTATACAGGTAAACTTATGGTAGTGTAGCACATAAGGTCGTGTGATTCCTTACATCAGTGCAGCTCTAGCACCAACAGTTGCCAAGATGAGCTTAAGGTTTACGTAGTATTACGTAAACTTCCCGCCAGTTCAGTGTGGAGCTATTTGACGAGTACACCGCTAAGACTAGGAAGCAAGGCAAATGACGCATGACGCAATGAATACGCATAATGGAAAGATCACAACGTATCGTCAGAATAGCCGTCGCAGATTATAACTTTACATTAGGTACTGCTTTCCATTTTAAGTATACGACCGACAATTAATTTGTGTTTGAAATAATAATAAATCAACCGTCAGTTCAACTAAGAGATATTTCAGGTTTTCGCAGCGGCCAGTAGAAGGAAAACTTGTCTTCCGGGTTGTTGAGCATTGTAGTCTAGTGGTTTACCGACGTTACAGAAGTACTTGATTCCTCCACATCGCTCTTATGATGAAGGCAGACAACATCTCTGAAACACCAGTATATTTCTACCAGATTATGTGGATCAACAACCGAGAATACATCTATCATCTTGAAAATTCCACTTACATCCTTAATATTAAATACAGTGTGTGATTTTTTTCATACAGATAATAGTGGTCTCCTTCGTGGCCACTTCTGTCCACGCTTCGACGTTGCCACAAGCTCAGTCGTACTCTTCATTCTTGTCTGGGCTATCACATTCACCGGCACCTCTAACTCTGTCAAATGCGCCTTTGACCATTTCTCATACACCAACACTTGTTTCGCACTACACGAGACTTCATAAATAGAGAATATGTAAGTAAACATGCTGTACACGTTTTCAGTACTTCACGTTGTGAGTCGCTACTATAAATCAAAGATTAAATGTCCGTATCAGATACGTATGAAGATTGTTGAAGATAAATGTTAAAATGTATTAATTTGGTGTTACTGCTAATGGCACTGTGCTTATACCGAATGCAGACTCATTAATATTAACTAATTCTCTGCTTAATTAATTACCACGTGATGAGGTACGGTGAAGTGGAGCCATAACCCCATGCTATCTTCACCTTAGCGGTAAATTTGAGTGAGAGATTATCTACTAGTAATCTACCTTCTTCAGTTTCCACACTCACTGGGACTCGAACGCAGAACAAATTTTCCGAGTTCTGACCTTACTAGATTTTTCTGATCTCAAGAAATAATCATTCCAATTCTTGTAGGCTTCTGCCCGTTACGAGTTCAAATACGGAGTGAAGGACGAACACACACACGACATCAAGGAACAGGCTGAGAAACGTGAAGGCGATAAAGTCACCGGATACTACACCCTGTTGGAACCAGACGGCACCCCTCGTACCGTCCCCTATACCCTGTTGGAACCAGACGGCACCCCTCGTACCGTCCACTACACCCTGTTGGAACCAGACGGCACCCCTCGTATCGTCCCCTATACCCTGTTGGAACCAGACGGCACCCCTCGTACAGTCCACTACAGCGCTGACAAACACACCGGGTTCCAGGCTCAGGTGACCAGATCCGGGCACTCGGCAAATTCTGCACCTTCCGTCAAGGCCGTGGACACTGCCGTCACCTCCTACGCGACGGTAGCGCCTCAGAAGACATATTCTTACGTTCCGATCTCATCCCATGATTGTTCTGTCACGAGCTAAAATATCCTCAGCAGCAGTTTAGGACTTGCCTCTAATGGTTATCAATAACTGAAATGCCTGCTGCAGTATTTCAGCCATAGTCGAATTTCGGGTCATATCCAGTCGCCATATTAATCTTCATGGAATTATAACACTGATTTCACACTTGTCTCCGAAAATTTCTTCACCCATATTAATATTTTTGGTCGCATGTAATATAATTAATTTATAGTTCATCAACATATTCTGTTAATAAACGTTCTTATGTCTGTTTAAAGTCACTAGACTGTATATTACTCATACATTGAGAAAGAAATGCAAATAAATATTTTACAAGTGCTTTCAAATGGATCTTTTAACCACCCAGTTTTATCAGCACACAAGCATATACGTTTCATTCTTCAATAATATTATTTCTTATCTTATACAAATTAGCAATGATGAAGTATATTAAGGGAGGCCTATAGCACAACTAAGATATATAAGTTACATTTCTATACTCTGTACCGTTTAATTGTTTGGTATGACGTACGAACATTTATTCTGAATGGTTGGAAAGCATTAGCAATACGTGAAGCCTTCACGCATACTAAATATAAATGGCAAGAACTATACAATAACATCAATTTCATGACTCAGCAAGAAGAGATTGAGAAATACCAGTCGGTATATTCGAGAGTTAGACGCTTGTGCTAAGAACAAACTTTTTGTTGATTCCGGCAGGAACCGGTTAGTCTGACAAGATTTCGCATTTATTCGGTACTTCTAAAAGAATATTCCATATGGAACTTCGAGACAGGTCACTGGTGATTACTCACCCATATTTATCAATAAAGCTTAAGCTACTATTCAGGTAAACTTGTTAAAATTTTATAAATTTTGGCAGTTGATGTAGATAAAGAATGTGTAATGTTTTATTTTCTTTCCATGAGAAAGGGCTGTATATTTTTTGTTGGGATATACAGGAAATTATACCTTTTCACTGATTGTAATTTTTAGCTGTTATAAAAGGCCTGTTTGTCAAATTAACTCTTTTAGCGGTATTTATTTTTTACGCGACCTTCAGATTATTTAATCCCAAAAACCAAATTACCCAGTTTCCCTGTAAAGTTCTTATAACTTACGACGTCAAAAAAGCTATTTTTAGACTTTAGAACGGGCAACAGATATATTGTTCAAATTCTATTGAAGTTTTCTCATTTTGTATACAGTCCTTGTTCCAATTCAGTATCTGCAGACACTAATTTTCCACCCTTGGACTCATAAAATTTCCATTGTGGATTATATAACGTTACTTTAAAGTAGCTAACTTAACCTTTGGGACAAATATCACATATACATCAGGATAAATTCAGTGTGCTCTAGACGCTAAAACATAACAACAGTCCGTTCGCTTCTTCGGGGTTTACTGAACAATATACTTTAATTTAAAGAGAAAAACAGATTTGTAATAGTTAACTCCCGTAAATGATATATTAGATAGCGTAATTTCACAGTTTTCATAAGTCAGATGGCAAAACACATATTAGAACGGAGTTGGCTGTTAAATGAGGGGTAGAACACCCCTCAAGGCGGTTCAATGTATTCGAAATTTTAACTACCTTATTGATATCCATGTACATATTACGCTAAGCTACTCCAAATTAATAGTAATAACAGATAATACAGGGCTATAAAATAATAAACATAAAATAATAGTGCCCTCATTTAAGTTGGTATAAATCTGCCAAGTTTCATCAGGTAAATGATAAAATAACACAACAAATATTAAATAAAGAAAAAATGCTGAATATATAATTTGCACGATGAAATAAAGAGGATGATAATGAAAATGATTAAATTAAACAGATGCTCACTTATGCTAACAGGAAATTACCATTGAAGAATGAATAGATAGGTGAACACGGAGCCGATAATGTAGTATATAATAGGAAAGTAATTAGACTGTTGTAATGAAAGTAAGTATTGGTTAACATACGTCTGATTAGTTGTCGTGTTGTGTTTGAGACCGTCCTAACCCGTTATAGAATTTCAGAGAATTGCAAGGTTCTTGTTCTGTTCTGGTTAATTTTCTCTTCTTTTTAGTATCATTGTGAAAGACGTATTTAATTCGGGATGTTACTCGGCCACTTCGAAGGAGGTGGAATGAGGAAGTTTAGGTCGCCACGGAGGTGGATACTAACACGCTGGTAAATAAGCAGTATAGCACGAGATATGATAATATTAAAATTGTAAGCGACTAGATAAGTCTTACATAGATAATAAGAAGTCTGTAGTTTGTATTCTTCACAATAATAGCACATATACTGAACCATGTAAATGACAATAAACTGAAATATGCATAAGAGTCTGCTTCGAAATTAACAGTATTAATAAAGATCATAGGAAATAAAGCGTGGTAGCGACAATGCCTTTTAGTTAAATTTGTAACATAATTTATTTAGTATTTAATTTGACGCCGTTAAAGCAATACGGACTGCCTGATACGTAATTACAGTTATGCAGACATCAGTTAAGTGCCATTATAATTTTACAATTTTTTTTATCTAAATTCTTTATTACATTTGCAGGTAAATGCCTCGCACTGCACTGGATGCGTCTCAAAATTCTAAACACTGATTTAGTTGTTGAGTCAAGCAAGATGAGTTAAGCTGTTGAGCAAGAGTTGGAATTTTTAATTGTATAAGACTAATTCAATGCTTTTATATCTGCCAGAAAAGTGAAATTGTGTATTTCTAGCTATGCACATAAGCGCGTGTGCGTGCATGCATGCATGCATGCATGTATGTATGCATGTATGTATGTATGTATGCATGCATGCATGCATGTATGTATGTATGTATGTATGTATGTATGTATGTATGTATGTATGTATGTATGTATGTATGTATGTATGTATGTATGTATGTATGTATGTATGTATGTATGTATGTATGTATGTATGTATGTATGTATGTATGTATGTATGTATGTATGTATGTATGTATGTATGTATGTATGTATGTATGTATGTATGTATGTATGTATGTATGTATGTATGTATGTATGTATGTATGTATGTATGTATGTATGTAAATAAGTACAATTCCAATTCGGGAACGGATATTCCGACATGCACCAAACTTCGTACGTTTATTTCTTGAGACCAGGAATAAATGATAAAAGCTCAAAACTACGGGAAACCGTGCCTGAGTTAGAGATCCGATGAAGGCTGTTCCTATAGCTCGGAAACTGAGCACGACACCAAAACCAATGTTGTTATTCTTCAAAGAGGATATTATGGTACGAAAGTCATGACCACAATAGTTCTGTCCTGGATTCCAGTCCCGGTAAATACAATTATTATAGCCCAGTAACTAAGCACGATAGAAGAAGGGAACATAGAAAAAGATTGTCTGTTTCGGCGGGGAGTGACAGGAGGAAAGGTTACAAACCCAGTAACTGTTATGGTTTCGAGTACAGGTAAAAATTTTGGGATTAGGAGTAATATTTTCTTCTTATGATATTCAAGATACACTAGTTGGAATCCATCATCATGGAATTTAATATCACACTCGAGTCAAGAGAAATTCATGTAACTATTTCAATCAAATTATACACATAAACGATCTGAGTAAATACTCGTACAAGAAGAGGAAGGAGGAGATGGAAATGTCGAAGAAGAGACATGAGGTGAGCAAGAGTGGACGAAGGATGCAATGTTAAAATAACGATGAAAAAATAGGTCTGAAAAGAGTGTTTAAATACTAAACAATGTACTCACACAATAAAGTAAAATACAAAAGAGGAGAGACAAAATAAATTGAAAGTATGTAACTGTTCGTGATTGTGGATATTAGCTTTGGAGACAAAATTCTAGGGCACTAATATATCAGTTATTCACGCAATAATAATTTACATAAACGTAACAAAAAGATCAGCCAAAGTCTCCGTCCTACAGGACACCTGGCCATTCTAATTTCTTACATGTGCTACTTCTAATGGCTACATGACATAAGAAAAGATAGTAGGCTACTTCTTATGATAGTGAAATGTAACAACAAAACTACATCGTTAGGGACACTGAAACGAAACTTGGCTCTCATGTCGCTGTAGTATTTCGGTAGGTGAAAGGAGGACTGTGTTTCGGAGTGACTGAAAGGTGTGTCCAGTTACTGATGGATCCTCCCACTGAGAAGCATATAAAAGGGAACGCGTGCTACGTTTAAGCATTACATCAAACAGACCACACGACATCACAACAAAATCATGGTTCTTATTAAGGTATGAATTAACAGCTTGAACCTGATAACATTTTTGTGGGTTTCTATAAAAGAAAACATTCTTCAAGCATCCACCGGAAAAATAATTTATAAATTATTCTTCGTCTATTTTGTGATGTGAAATTTAACTACTTTACTTGCTCTTATTTTTTACAAATTACTGTTTTATTACAACATAGGTATTTGTAAAAAAGTTATACTTTATAGCACAACTGAAAATGGCGTATGATGAAAAAGTGCTTTACACAAAATCATACGTATATCATATTATGTTTCTATAATTATTTAAGATGATCAGTATATCAATTTGTATAAATGTTAGGCCAGTTATAAAAACGAAAATCACAAATCAGTTTCACTTCAATCCGTAGTTCGTAATAGTATCCAATTACATGATGAATGTTCGACCCAAGTCAGTGGGTATATAAAAATAAATACAAATTACGTGTATAATCGTTGCAGACTTTCTTCCAGTATATGTTCACAACTCAAAGATTTCAAATATGCTTATTATACTATATATGTGCGATACTACTGTGAAGTAAAATATTTTGTTACTACAAATAATATTATTGTTGCCTATGCATTGCAGGTAGCGGTGTTCGCCATCCTAGCTACGGCCACGTTCGCCGCGCCGGTGGGCGAGTCACAGTCTTACTCAACATATTTATCTGGGCCCTTGGAATCTCACGGTTCCTTATCTTTAGCACACGCTCCAATAGCCATCGCTCACGCACCAGTAGCCATCTCTCACGCACCTGTTCAACTTCACAGCGTTCCCGAAGTCGAGCATTATGTGAGTGTATAAAGTGTATAGTGACACACTGTTCCACCGCCATTCCTCAAACACTCACTTATTTTAAAGCCGGAGTGAAATAATTCCGTAAATTTCACCTTCAGTTCGAATAAAATATATCACGTTTAAACAAACACAATAGTGCATTCACGAAATATAAATTTCACCTTCAGTTCGAATAAAATGTATCACGTTTAAACAAACACAATAGTTCATTCACGAAATGTAAATAAGGTCTACGTTAAGGATTTCTCTTCGTAAGAACGAGTATTACTTTAAATAATAACAATAACAGTTTCTACTAAACAGTTATTTGTAGAATGATCGTCTTTCGGATTCTGAAAGAATCCTGTTCGACGCTGAATGGGACAGCCAAGTCACATCCACACAGCTTTTCTGAAAGAATTTTGTCAATTTATAGTCGGTACCTTCAACCCGTACCACAAATATTATCGGTTCAAAATCTCTGATCGATATGTAATTACAACTTCCTTTCCATTTTACACAACTTTGTAACATGCAACAGCGTTGTTAAACAATAAGCAAAGTACCAAGAAATAATATTTATAAATGCAGGCGATAATTACATGCAAGAAAATGATCACGGAATGTAAAATATATTTTTAAAACTGAGGAATGAATGTCGCTATATCGTAGTTAGTACGTCTGTTTCGCACACGAAAGATAAACAGCAGCTTATGAAACTTATCTCCCATGCAGATTTGGCTGAAGATCCTTACGAGTTCCTTCAACTCTCTCCGAGAAAATATCGATACAGTACCACATAATAGGCCAGATATCGTCCTTTTACGTTCTTTCTAATTCGCCATCCATAATTATATTTTCATCACTGCGTTATATGTCCCATTAATGTCACAAAACTTTTCTTAAAACAATAAATTAACAAGATATAATTAAGCACACACGTTTTGAGGCAATACGTTGAACGAAACACAGAAAGATGTTTTTTTATTTCTGGTGTCAGGTACATGAATATTTTACTTTTTTTCGTTTTACCAAATAAATTGTTCTCATAAATTTATTAAAGTTAATAAATGCACGCATGTCACTGACTTTGAACAAACCATCAATCAAATTTTGTATTTATCTGCAGGCTCCAGCCAACTACGAATTTAAATATGGTGTTAAAGACGAACACACGCACGACATCAAGGAACAGGCCGAGAAGCGAGTTGGAGACAAAGTTGAGGGATACTACAGCCTCGTTGAACCTGATGGCACCACTCGCACGGTCCACTACACAGCTGACAAACACACCGGGTTCAACGCTGTAGTCACCAAGTCCGGACACGCGTCTCACCCAACCGCTCCCGTCAAAGTAGCCTTGCCTGTGCATAAGGTGGTATCGGCTCCACTCATCTCCTACGCCCATTCGGCCCCTGTAATCTCATACTCACATTCTCCCCTAGCATCTCTAGGTCCCAGCCACTCCGTAGTAGGTTCTGCTACCAGCTACAGCAGTATTAGTGGCAGTTTGGGTCAAGAATCTGGAAGCTACCACTAGGTGAACACCCTGGCCATATTTACAGAACCATCTGCATTTTTAACGATCAGCACTGCCTTAGCCGGCTACATCATCTTACATTAATTTTGTACTGCTTTCCACTTCACTGCTCTGTGTCATTTGCATTTTGTAATATATCATATATATTTTATCTGTCATGTTATTAATGTTATTTATGTGTATGCTATTGTTGATACACTATTTTTGATGTAAACATTTGCCTATATGTTAATAAATGTTTCAAAAAAATACTGTAACTATTCATGTACTCATAACACCAAATTACTTTAATTAACTCGGCCACGACTTCTAACACATTACTGTAGTGTCACTTTAACATTTATCTTTTGAAGTCAGCCTACATATTAAGGCACTCTTTACTTAGAAGTTTAGTGTTCTTGTTGGCTTTTCTTATACCTGCTAAAGCTGTTCACAAAGTGAAAATGTTTAAACTTTTTTCAGTATTTCAGTGTAACTTATTTCGATTCCTACACTGAAGAAGCCAGTGCCGAATTTTGTAATAAAGCATTAAATACAAGTCATCAGGGACAATGATCTGTGTGGGTTGAAATCACAGCACTTGATCGAGAAACTTTGTTCCTTAGACCTGATCACAGATTTACAGAAACACGATTCACTGACTAATGAAGCACTTCTCGGATCAGTTCTGGTGCGTAGAAGCTACAGCTACTGACTGGTTCGTAATCACCTGATACTCAACGAAATGCTTATTTTGATCGATTACTGCAACAGAAATCCGCACTGTTCTCACCTCTTTCCTCAACGAAGTCCCAATAAAGTCCATAAAAATGTCACAACTAAAGCTTTCTACTCATCATTTACAAAGTAACTCTAACTAACTAGATGGCTTACCGAACCCAAAGGTTCATCACCGAATTAACCAAAGCCCTCCACCGGACCCTGTCCTGGGGCAACAAAATCCAGTCTCCTTCAACTCCTATCCCCCATAGATCCCGCCTGAGATTATCCTTCCATCTACGTCTAGGTCTCCCCAGCGGTCTCTTCCCCTCAGGCTTCCCAAGTTCTTGTTCCATCCATGTGAGCTACATTCCCCGCCCATCTCATTCTTCTCGACTTAATCACCCTGACAATACTGGTGAACTCTACGCATAATAAAAACCAGTGACACATAAAATCTTATAAATAAATAATGCCAATAAGTCTCATGGTTAATTATCTTTTGAGGTCTTGGTTTATTCAACTGTTTAGGACCAAAATGGAAAGGATGATTTTTTTAAAATTATTATAGCTCTCTTAACGCATACATTCCGTCTTACTCTGACAAATTTTCTAATTTATATTTCTTTAATGTACTTTATTATAGCAGGAATAAAATGATTGCTTATTTATTTTATGTTAAAATAACACTTAAAAATTATAACGGTACATTGCAATATGGAGTTGAATTCATTCAATTTCAGTGAAAGTGCAATCTGGATAAGTAGAACATAGTTACAGAACGTAAACAAATGCATGACTATCAACCTAATTCAAGTAACTATCAAGATAAACAGGAAACAGTTTGATTATATTCAGTAATTACTTGGAATTTTAAATTAACATTAAAAGGGTGTGTTATTTCTAAACTTAACAATTGGCAGTACCTTTCAGATTTCCGATATAGTCAATCGAATTATTTTTTGGAAAACTAATACGTAACAAGAAATATGTATCCTTTCGATGACTCACATATATCCGAAACTCTTTGCATTAATGCGATCCTGTTTTAACACCGGAACAGAGACATGTGTTCTGTATACGGTGAATGCCTTCCGAGGTTAACAGCGAATAAGGACCTAAAGTTCGATAAATAATTCTATGAGTATTATTATTGTAATATTATTAAATCTCTTCAGAACTTTTACGATTCCAATTTCATTTTCAGTATCACTTATCCTTTCTGGGAGACGTAGATGCTAGGCAAACACAGAAAGAAACAGATGCTACACTGTTCGAGATCTTGATACAAAAGCGTGGAGGGGTCGAACACTATCGTGACGTAGCACAAGATGGATGGATACTGAGAAGCTATGAAGTGACTACAATCTACAAGACGTGTGTACTGTGTCTGCGTGTAGCTAAGTAAGTTTTCTGAAGATATTCACCGTTATCAATCAAGAAAAGTGCGTAAACTATTCTTAACGTAGATGACCAGCAACTGAAATAAACTGAACTAACCGTTATCAATCAAGAAAAGTGCGTAAATTATTCTTAACGTAGATGACCAGCTACTGAAATAAACTGAACTACTAAACCACTGAAGTACCTGAGAAAATCATTTGTTTGGAATTAAATACAAGGTAGTAATTAGAAATTGGGTACGTGAGATTTTATATTCTCATGGCAACGATCATGAAGATTGTCTTCTGAGTTATCACCATGCGTGAAATCTGAGGTTCTCATGACAGTGGAAAATGTCGATCTTTGGTATTCTCAGTAGTAACGTCATATGAATTTGTACGTAAGAACCAGGGTTTCATTTTCCTTCTTCAGAGCTTAAAGAGACTAAGGCGTAATGCCTTCTGAGGGCAAAGCACCAAAGTGACGAAGGCCTGCAAGAACACAAAATGAATTTCTAAAGTCCTGGTTGACTAGATACAAAAACCCTGTTGGTTAGGCCCTAACGAAGTAAGTATCTTCGAGAAGGGCTTGGATGGTAAAGCCTCAATGGTTAAATAAAACATCCAGGACTGAACTAGACGTGGAGGCATAACTTGGGGTGTGTCCCCAGGCGGTGAAATCCCCGGAAATGGCCTAGCACCGTGGGTGGTGAAGCCCCTCGGGAGCAGTCTAGGTCCTACTGACATCTGAACGAATGAACGTAAGATGATAGAATTAAAGAGGTGTACACCTCGGCAAGGGCTTGGTCCCGGAGGGGGGGGGGATCTAAGGGGAGTAAGCAATAACAATGACAGGAATGGAATTACGATAACAATAGGAATAGAAATAATAAAAAAAACACAATGGCCATTCGAGTTGCCTACCTCGTAGGAAAACAAGGTAGACAAATATGGGAGGCTCATAAGATGCCCGTCGCTCACACTAGAGTGTGAAGAACATCCAACGAATTTGGAGGAATTTATTGACTAGACGAGTGGCTATCACTTCCTGAAGAAAGACTCCAATCCGTACAGTTATTGAGAAAATTACCGTAACAGACGCAGTATCGACAAATTACGTGAAGCTTAATGCGAACCTATGCGAGAAGTTTCTATAGAGGGATAGAAGGTGGTGGCGAACTAGGTTAGTTATAAAACCCCTACACAGATAATTTCTAAAGGTTTCTGACGATTGTAAATTACAATTAGCACAATTACGTAACGTCACGTAACGAACAGGGTACGTTCGTGCCACTTCCTGTTCGTAGCAGCAACGCAAGACACCTGGTCACGCAGAGGTCTTGCGTACAGTAAGCGGTCGCCTGTCAGACAAGAATCGACAGCTCTGAAAGACGGAGTTTTATAAACCAAAACGCCACTACTCCACTGCCTTGTTGGCTTAACATATACAATTCTTTTATGAATGTTTAGGCAGAAATCTTCATACTCACCGCTGTGAAAACGTCAAACCTTGCAAATCTTTGTCGCTTTCCCATATGGAGATAACTATACCAAAGTTAAAATACACAACATATATTACATCTGAAGTAGTCCCTGGCACTTATTAAAAATTTCAATCTAAAACCTAATGAAATATTACTTAAAAATTTAATTCCTACCTCAAGTAAAATGCGTCCCCACAAACACCAGCTGATTGATCCTTCTTAGGGAAATAATGGCCGTTATTCAGATAATCATAATAAACCCATGAAGGAAATTTTGGGGCAAAATGTAGAGTCAATGATCTTGGAGGGGGTACAAAAGTTAACTCCAAGTTTTAAAGGGTTACGCATCACATTATGTATGTCTGTATGGGGGAATGAGAGTGTAGTTGTACACATTTTTCACATTAATACAGGTTGAAAGTGAGTCACCAGATCCCCGTCTTGTTCGCTCTACCCCCAGGGAAACAGCTCCGTTAGAAATTTAAAAGGAGGCTGGGTGGGTCCCAGAGCCGGTCTGAACGCGATAGATCAGACCAAAGTATCTTAACCTTGCCGGGAATCGAACCGCGGTCATCCAGCCCGTATTATAGTATCTATACTGAGCGATACATCAGTCAATCACTAACAAAACTCATATATAACACCTACCGGTGTAACTTATTTCATTTATCGGCTCGTCGTTTCATCGTAAATATTATAGGTTTTCTATTGCGGTATTTTTCGTGATTCCGGATTACTGCTAAAAGGGAGATGGCTGTCTTCGGGGTCACTGTGTCGTGTATTCTGGTAGACACTGAATAGGAGCAAGCTGCCTCCGTCATGGCAATGGATGTTGATGGAAGTGGCAAGCAACTCTGAAACTTTTACCAGACTAAACGGCGCAACAATTCACAAGTAATCTTCATATTCGCCGCTGTAAGAACCTGAAATCTCATGCTGCTATTTGCATAATCTTCGTCTCCATAAGCGAAAACAACAATGTTTCTGATTATGTAAAAGTTTCCGTAGGACCAAACGGGTTACGAAGTGTAAATTAATGCAAATTCAATGCTTGATCACTTAGCTCACGGATTTCCATGCTTATTTTCTTGCGACTGACGTAAGTTTAAAATAATATTACTTACATCATTGTTAACTTTGTCACCATCTGCAGATATTTCAATTATAAAAATAAATTAGAACTGTTTTCTTTGTTTAAACTACTTCGCAAGCAGATTCGTAATGTCATCACCACCATTACTATAATAAACAAAGCAGAATTCGGCTTAGTTTCCTATTCATTTTGCAGCCTGTATTTGTTGAAGCCAATCATTTTAAAATAGAGTGTTTTGGACGTTTTAGCTTTAATTTGTTCTTACTCCCTCATTTCGTTGATTATCTATTCTTGTACTAACTTACACAGATGGCAGAACCTTAGGTGTCGTACCTGAAATCCTTCGGCCCCACATATCCTCAATACAACAAAGAATATCAACTACTTAATGGAATGTATAAATATAGGCGGGGAATTACGTGAAAATATTTGATGTAAAATTGCAAGACAATCGGACTCATATTCTCTGTTGGGATTTACGGTTTAGATTGGATTGTTAATTAATTCTCGAATTATAAAGATGTCAGAGAAAAAAGCGTTGAGGAGATTTGGTCCCAAGATAAGAGACAGAAAACAAATATTGAGGAATTTTATAACATGTGATTTTAGCTAAATATGAACACGAAGAAATCAATAAAGATGAAAATGGAGGAGACATGGGGGAGATAAAAATGTGTACACAATTTTGGTTGCATAGCCTAAAGAGAAAAACTACTCAGAAGACCTAGGCATAGATGGAAGGATAATAGGATGAGAAGGTGTGGACTGGATTAATACGGCTCGCGATAGGGACCGGTGGCTACTCTTGGCAATGAACCTTAGGTTTAAATAGAAGCCAAAAAGTATCTAGACTAGCTGAGCGACTATCAGATTCTAAAAAACTACTGTGCTGCTTGAAACTATTTAAAAAGTTAATAGGACTCGGACGTCGGCCCGTCGCAAGGCCTCAATCTGCACAATACAGAAAAAAAGACGCGTGCATAAATCCATGCCTTAAACAACATTCGAACCTATGATCCCAGTGGTCAAGAGCTTACAAATTTAATGCCATGGCTCTCTTATGTGTTTTCAGTTTTGTAATTAAATCGTCTAGAACTGTATTGAATAACATTCAAAAGCACTTTTTCCATACTCTGTGAGTCTTAATCTACCAAAAAAAATGATGAAATAACCTTCTAATTCAAAGTTGTTTCCATTTAAATCTACGTATTCAAGAGATTAGTGAACTCGAATTTATGTTATTTCTGAAGGCAAAGATGCCATTGTGCTTAATTAACACGAGTTTGTGATGGCATAGGTAAATATCCATGCATTATTAACCTCACCATTATATGTAGGTGAGTGGTCAGGTTCATGTTTCGGCCACTTTACCCACAGGGACAGGAAGCTGGGTGGGTCCCAGAGCCACTAAAGACGCGGCGACGAAGATAAAAATCTTTGATCCTCTCGGGAATCGAACCCCGGTTGTTTCCCAGAAAGCCTAGCCGCTAAACTGTTACTTGCAGTAAACAATAAACTATATTCTAAGAATGGTAAACTATAACGACAATTATAAGAGGGTCATTTAAACTCAATTAATAAGTCAAAAATATAAATGTTTAGCCAGGAAAGTTGTTTTACCCCAATTTAGCCTTTTTATAATTCGAGCTTCTACACGAAAGTGTTCCATCGTCCTTCTGCGAATTATGCAATCTAACTTCCATACCGTCTACTTTACTCCTGATTATTGTTTTCCACATGAAAGATCGTGTTATTTTCCTTATTTTGTCTCTCTCATATTTTCTTCAACCAAATTTGAAGGTGTCCTAACATTCCTTTCAGTTCCTTATCACACTACTTTGAATTGCATCATAACTGTGATGTCGTGGGAGATAAAACTGCTGTTAATCACATATTTGTTTGTGCTCAGATGGTTTCGCTTCCCTATTATCAGAAAGTGCATGAGAATTGGAATGTAGAATTAATGCCTATCATGCCAACAAGAAACAAGGTGTGGTGTAAGTTTTGCAGATAAACTCGAGAGATTAGTTGTATATATAAGGGAAGGAAGACTGGTCCATCATCACAAAGAAACCAGCACTGTGAAACAAGCTCTTCGATTCAGTAAGGAACAATGGTTCATATAAAGGTTAGAGACTTTGATCCAGCAAACACGTTTTAAGATGGCTGTCTTCTGGATTGCTACGCCTTGTAGTCAAGTAGAAATTTACTGACGTTTCAGAGGTCCTTGCTGCCTCCATCATCAGGAAGATCCGCGATAATGGAGGCAGCAGGGATTTCTAAAATGTTGCGAAACTTCTACCAGACTACACGTCGCTATAACCCAGAAGACAAACATCTTCATACTCACCGGCGTGAAAACCTCAAATCCTACTTGAACACGTTTTCTGACTTTGAGAAAAAGGATTTAAAAACATTTCTATGGAACAATTATCGTAATAAGATACGAACTTACTGTAAAAAAACTCTGGTGGATATACAAACCCAACACACACACAATGACATGTACATACGGTTCTGTTTCTCAACACTCTGATGTTAGAGATTTCAAAAAAAGGGCAATTTCATTATAATCACGTATACTTTTTATTGGTGATCTATCTTAAGGTGGAATTCAAAGTTTCTCACAGGAGGACTGTGAGAACAAGGCAATATGTACATCACACTGGTCCATATTTAACTGTTAACGTTAACAAAATCTAATACAGTGCAAGAATGTAAAATCCTAGAAAGAAACGTCTATTTTACTCAATATAACAGTAATGTATAATAACGTTAATATTTTCGTTACAATTTCATATCCAAAAATTAAGTTTAGAAAACTTTAATTTTTTTGTAAAAGTTTTTAACTATCACTTTCATCCCACATGAAGGAAGTGTTTTGCTTTTGTAATAAATATCCTTATTCAATATTGCCTGTTGCTTCACCACAAATAAAATGCTACAGTCTGCCCCAAAAAGCTTTACACACACACATTACGTTAGAATTGTGTACACATCTTTTTTAGTAAACTATTTTATTTCTCAGTATTACAACCCACAATCCCCCTTAATAAATCACATAGTAATCCGCGTCACACAAACACTTCCACAAATTATATAAAGCAAGCACTTACGAATCAAGTCAACTTGAAACACACGGCAACCACAATGTTAGAGCACATATCAGAGTAACACGCTCAGCTTACTTTCCCTTATTAAGGAGATAAAGTAGATTTACGATATCATCATATCTGTAAGTCATTCTCTGAGCTAGCCTACGAATTTTTAAGCAACGTATTGAAAAGGTAATGCCACACTGGAAGCCAGCCTAACACAACACTTTTTTAAATTTCCTACTGTGGGGAACAGCAACATGGCCGACGCTCGAACTTGTGAGAGTGACACTAGCGCTAACTAACTAACTAACTAACTAGGTAGATGGTTTACCAAACCCGAATATTTATCACCGAATTAACCAAAGCCCTCCACCGGACCCTGTGCTGGACCAACAAAATCCAGTCTCCTTCGATTCCATTGGATTGTTAATTAATTCTCGAATTATAAAGATGTCAGAGAAAAAAGCGTTGAGGAGATTTGGTCCCAAGATAAGAGACAGAAAACAAATATTGAGGAATTTTATAACATGTGATTTTAGCTAAATATGAACACGAAGAAATCAATAAAGATGAAAATGGAGGAGACATGGGGGAGATAAAAATGTGTACACAATTTTGGTTGCATAGCCTAAAGAGAAAAACTACTCAGAAGACCAAGGCATAGATGGAAGGATAATAGGATGAGAAGGTGTGGACTGGATTAATACGGCTCGCGATAGGGACCGGTGGCTACTCTTGGCAATGAACCTTAGGTTTAAATAGAAGCCAAAAAGTATCTAGACTAGCTGAGCGACTATCAGATTCTAAAAAACTACTGTGCTGCTTGAAACTATTTAAAAAGTTAATAGGACTCGGACGTCGGCCCGTCGCAAGGCCTCAATCTGCACAATACAGAAAAAAAGACGCGTGCATAAATCCATGCCTTAAACAACATTCGAACCTATGATCCCAGTGGTCAAGAGCTTACAAATTTAATGCCATGGCTCTCTTATGTGTTTTCAGTTTTGTAATTAAATCGTCTAAAACTGTATTGAATAACATCCAAAAGCACTTTTTCCATACTCTGTGAGTCTTAATCTACCAAAAAAAATGATGAAATAACCTTCTAATTTAAAGTTGTTTCCATTTAAATCTACGTATTCAAGAGATTAGTGAACTCGAATTTATGTTATTTCTGAAGGCAAAGATGCCATTGTGCTTAATTAACACGAGTTTGTGATGGCATAGGTAAATATCCATGCATTATTAACCTCACCATTATATGTAGGTGAGTGGTCAGGTTCATGTTTCGGCCACTTTACCCACAGGGACAGGAAGCTGGGTGGGTCCCAGAGCCACTAAAGACGCGGCGACAAAGATAAAAATCTTTGATCCTCTCGGGAATCGAACCCCGGTTGTTTCCCAGAAAGCCTAGCCGCTAAACTGTTACTTGCAGTAAACAATAAACTATATTCTAAGAATGGTAAACTATAACGACAATTATAAGAGGGTCATTTAAACTCAATTAATAAGTCAAAAATATAAATGTTTAGCCAGGAAAGTTGTTTTACCCCAATTTAGCCTTTTTATAATTCGAGCTTCTACACGAAAGTGTTCCATCGTCCTTCTGCGAATTATGCAATCTAACTTCCATACCGTCTACTTTACTCCTGATTATTGTTTTCCACATGAAAGATCGTGTTATTTTCCTTATTTTGTCTCTCTCATATTTTCTTCAACCAAATTTGAAGGTGTCCTAACATTCCTTTCAGTTCCTTATCACACTACTTTGAATTGCATCATAACTGTGATGTCGTGGGAGATAAAACTGCTGTTAATCACATATTTGTTTGTGCTCAGATGGTTTCGCTTCCCTATTATCAGAAAGTGCATGAGAATTGGAATGTAGAATTAATGCCTATCATGCCAACAAGAAACAAGGTGTGGTGTAAGTTTTGCAGATAAACTCGAGAGATTAGTTGTATATATAAGGGAAGGAAGACTGGTCCATCATCACAAAGAAACCAGCACTGTGAAACAAGCTCTTCGATTCAGTAAGGAACAATGGTTCATATAAAGGTTAGAGACTTTGATCCAGCAAACACGTTTTAAGATGGCTGTCTTCTGGATTGCTACGCCTTGTAGTCAAGTAGAAATTTACCGACGTTTCAGAGGTCCTTGCTGCCTCCATCATCAGGAAGATCCGCGATAATGGAGGCAGCAGGGATTTCTAAAATGTTGCGAAACTTCTACCAGACTACACGTCGCTATAACCCAGAAGACAAACATCTTCATACTCACCGGCGTGAAAACCTCAAATCCTACTTGAACACGTTTTATGACTTTGAGAAAAAGGATTTAAAAAACATTTCTATGGAACAATTATCGTAATAAGATACGAACTTACTGTAAAAAAACTCTGGTGGATATACAAACCCAACACACACACAATGACATGTACATACGGTTCTGTTTCTCAACACTCTGATGTTAGAGATTTCAAAAAAAGGGCAATTTCATTATAATCATGTATACTTTTTATTGGTGATCTATCTTAAGGTGGAATTCAAAGTTTCTCACAGGAGGACTGTGAGAACAAGGCAATATGTACATCACACTGGTCCATATTTAACTGTTAACGTTAACAAAATCTAATACAGTGCAAGAATGTAAAATCCTAGAAAGAAACGTCTATTTTACTCAATATAACAGTAATGTATAATAACGTTAATATTTTCGTTACAATTTCATATCCAAAAATTAAGTTTAGAAAACTTTAATTTTTTTGTAAAAGTTTTTAACTATCACTTTCATCCCACATGAAGGAAGTGTTTTGCTTTTGTAATAAATATCCTTATTCAATATTGCCTGTTGCTTCACCACAAATAAAATGCTACAGTGTGCCCCAAAAAGCTTTACACACACACATTACGTTAGAATTGTGTACACATCTTTTTTAGTAAACTATTTTATTTCTCAGTATTACAACCCACAATCCCCCTTAATAAATCACATAGTAATCCGCGTCACACAAACACTTCCACAAATTATATAAAGCAAGCACTTACGAATCAAGTCAACTTGAAACACACGGCAACCACAATGTTAGAGCACATATCAGAGTAACACGCTCAGCTTACTTTCCCTTATTAAGGAGATAAAGTAGATTTACGATATCATCATATCTGTAAGTCATTCTCTGAGCTAGCCTACGAATTTTTAAGCAACGTATTGAAAAGGTAATGCCACACTGGAAGCCAGCCTAACACAACACTTTTTTAAATTTCCTACTGTGGGGAACAGCAACATGGCCGACGCTCGAACTTGTGAGAGTGACACTAGCGCTAACTAACTAACTAACTAACTAGGTAGATGGTTTACCGAACCCGAATATTCATCACCGAATTAACCAAAGCCCTCCACCGGACCCTGTGCTGGACCAACAAAATCCAGTCTCCTTCAACTCCTATCTCCCATAGATCCCGCCTGAGATTATCCTCCCATCTACGTCTAGGTCTCCCCAGCGGTCTCTTCCCCTCAGGCTTCCCAACCAATACCTGGTGCACACCTCTTGTCCCGTCCATGCGCGCTACACGTCACGCCCATCTCATTCTTCTCGACACTAGCGTTACTAAAAATTATGCAAGACCGTAGAAAATGTTTTGTTTCAATATTAGTGAATCAAAATTGAGTTGCCTTTTAAATGGTAGAAACATTAGTGGTTGTGTATTTATAAGTATAAACAGTTAACGTTGTGTCCTTAGGTCATGGTGTTGGCAGTCCTGGTGGCGAGTACAGCAGCAGTACCTCGCTACATGTCCTCATACGGAAACTCTGTTCAAGGACGTGTACTTCACGCCCAAAATCTTGATTACGCTCTTACGCCAAGTCTAGGCTATCCTCGTCCTTCGAATATGGAATATGCTCCTGACGATGCAACAAACCTCGACTACACTCATCCTCCACATGTGGGTTACAGTCATGGGTCTGAACGTCATCGCTATGAAACTACTGATAATTATGTGAGTAAGAAAAAGTTGTATTATTTAGCCTCAGATACCAAACCTTTTGTATGACATCAAGTTAACAACGTGCTATTCTGAAAACATATTTCCGTGGACAACTCTGAAATAAAGACAGCTTACGATCATAAAACCACCAAAGACTCATGATGGAGGAAAAAATTAAGTTCATATCCTTATAATACAGAGTCCACAAACTTTAGGTGTACGAGAAAACATTTAAGTGAAATAATTTTTTCTTCAACACATTGCAATTATAAAATTGCAAAGTGATTTTAAGTCCAGTGCTGCAAGGAAAGGGTAATGTACAGAAGAAAAGAGCTCTAATATTAAAACATAATTCCAAAATAACACAGAATTAATGAAAAACTAACTGTGATTGCATTAGAAACCAAGATATTTTATTGTATCTTTCCTTTCTGCATAAACGAAGAACATAAAATTGTCCCAAAAAAGATGTATACACACAATATTCAGCATTATAATATATATGCATTTTTTGGGAAATTCTGTTTATATTAAATCACATGCTTTTATTTTCTTGTAATGTCTTGCATAAACACACAATCAATTCAAAATTTTGATTATGGAGATTTTCAATTCAGGTGCGTTCTCGACATATTCAACAGAATAATTTCTCTAAATTTATCAAATAGCAGTCTGTCTCTTAAATTGCTTTCTGGCTCTACGCCTACTTATAAATTCCAAGAAGCATAAGTATTCTGTAAGCCACTGTCTCCCTTGAAATTTATAGAAGAACAACAAGAATTGCTAAATTAGCACTGTTTTTTCAAGTTAAGGGTATTTTATTTCAATAAATATGTATTATGATTTTCAGGTTTCACCTAACTACGAGTTTAATTACGATGTTAATGATGCACAAACCAACGACATCAAAGAACAAGCTGAAAGACGAAATGGCGACAGAGTTGACGGACACTACAGTGTGGTTGAACCTGACGGCACCACCCGGACAGTGGAGTATACCGCTGATGATCTGAACGGATTTAACGCTGTAGTCACTTGGTCAGGAGACGCCAGACATCCACTCACTATCACTCAGGCCCAGAGTCTTCCCGGATACCCCCAAATGGCACCCGCTTTCCCACGCTCCGACCACCCCAACTACGCTCCTTCTTACCCTCGAAGAATTACTCCAGGGAGTTCGTACGCGACTGCTACAAGCTTATCTGATTATTATGCAGGGTCACCCACCGAAGCCTACGGGCCTCTTGCCGCAGACTACAGCGACGCTCCAGGACATGGCTATGGAGGTTCACTGCCACGTAAACTGAATATCAGAAACAACCATATTTTTTATGTATAACGTTGTATTTTCATACTTTATAATCCTAGATTTTTTAGGGAACTTATGTATCAGATTCCTCAGTAGTAATTAGAATATGAAAAAAAAAATCTGTATTTCTTCAAATTTGTATATTTTTATGAATAAATGTATGCTTCAAAGTATAATTAACAGCCTCAGAAGTATTTGAAATGCCATATATTTTATAGAAAAAATATTACGAATTGAGCTAAAACGACAGTCAAATGTTCGTTTAATGTTACTGAATAAACAAGAAGTTATAACACAAACGAATTTGTCTCTTACTAGGAAGGGAAAAATTTTGAGTTTCAGTCGAAGTGTCAATTTTCTTAATGAGAGATCCCTAAAGGTCTCAAATCATGATATGAAGACATACATACAACATCTCTCAGGCTGACTCTGTCTCAGTACACGACCACTTCCCAGGAACAAAGACTAACCTTCTTTGACCGACCTGCCTTATCTTATAACTTTTAATACCATGCAGTGTATTGATGTATAAAAATCATGCATGCAAACAAAACTGTTTACACATTAAATAACACATTGTGCCAAACGCGTTTCGACCTTAAGAGGTCATCATCAGTTGCAAAAACATTCATTAATTAGTCTGTAATGCATATATATATATATAATTTTGAATAATGCGCACTGCGAAAACACTTCTAACAATTACACTAAAAGAAAAATAATTTCGTGAAGTATCACAAGAAATTAAATATTATGCTCCTCACGTGGATGGACGTGAAACGTGACAGAAATACATGTGTTCGTACAAGTGTGTTCGCTAAATGAACGGCGCCGCACTGCTTCATCTAAATACACGGCATCAAAGCAAATGAACCAGTTACGCAACGAATTTAAGGCTTTCCCCAGTAATGAAGCTATTGAATGATGAAAAATGTCTGACAAGTAGATCCACATGTCACAATTACGTCATGACAGCACCAAAGTAACTGTACGAAAAAATATGTGCTACGGCACCCGAAATCAGCTTTCCTGAAGGCATAAATAGGAAGAAATAAAAGCTAATTGGAAGGAGGGTACCGAAAATCAGAAAGTAATTTTTTCCGCTACTTGCCCATTAAACCGCTTCTTACGAGCATGCATCCTGTTAATTTAATCTATTTGTGAGTTCTTTACTTTTAAACTATATCCTTATTACATTTAGAAACATATTCCGTACCCTACACGTGTTCAGTTCTATTATAAAAAAACAAAAATTGTAATTTAATTCAACCTGTTATATTCAACAGTGTTGGACCTTGTCCTCCTACATGCTCATTTATTTATTTAGTGTTCTGTCTGACGACAGGTCCATATGAACAGGATTCTTCCATCCTTTTCTCGGACTGGGACCTGTTCATATACGTTCTTGCCAGATGATCCAGAAGTGGTTTGCCATTGCCTTCTTCTGTGTGTGTGAATGGAGTAATTGTTGGGATGCCACGGAGAAACCGGGGAAGCCCCCGGAGGAAAACTCCGTGTTGCCTAGACCACGGCCTTGCCCAACACAAGTTATAAATTCGGGCACCGCCGGGAATCGAATCCGAGACCCCAGGATTACAAGGCCAGAGTTCTAACCGCTAGACCACCGTGGCTACCTACCTTACAAGAATATAAACTGGGGGCGAAGCAATTCTTCAGCGGCCAGAGGCGCCAGCTCGGATCAAAAGTTAAACGTCCAATGCTTATGACGTCACCATTCCCTGAGAGATTAGACTACTGCTCTGAATTGATGCCGTGGCCGACCGAGAAAAATTTAACACATTTAGTCTCAGCAAAAAAAGTCATATATAAAGTGACAATGCCAAGAGATTTTAAAACCTTGCATAACGTTTAGTATCGAATCACTACACAAAATCACATATATAAACAAACCTTTTACACTTTAAACACAACTATATCATGCCAGACGCGTTTTAACCTTACGAGGTCATCATCAGTGGCATATTAAAATCAGTCCATTAACATATTAAATTAAATTCATATAGCTTATATAACAAAGTGTTGTCAAAATGACACTGTGACACTGTCATATTTATAGACCCACACTTTTGTAATATCACATTTTATGGTTTATGCTGCACACAAACTGGTGTATTGCCCAATTGAGTCACCCACATGTGCTGGGTCGAGTCGTTCTATTCGAGGTGGATGTGTTCTTGTATTGCAGCTCTATGTCCGATGACCGAAGTCTCTCTTGTGTCTTACGACAGAGTGGTCCAACTTTTTTCCTCGCCCGGGCCAGAATATTTTTCCTGTTGGACCCAAGGGCCAAGAAACCCTACTGTCACTATTTTTGCATTGTCGTTATCTTCAATAATACTTATTCAGAAATGACAAATTACCATTGCATATGCTGAAATATAAATTTTATTTAAACGTGCACAAAACTTATTTAGAGGTGTATATTATTTTAAATTTGTTCCTACAACAGCTCTTATCTCTCATAATATTTACCTTGAAAACTTACACAAATTATTTGATCTCCGCTACTTTAACAGCTTGTATTTGATACAATATTAATTTGTACCTGTAGTAAGTACATATTATGCTTTTAATGTCAATGGCTTTAGTGAGAACACTGAGCAGAATGTTCTTTTATCAACTTCGAAGAAAATGTGTTTGTTCTAACTAGTAACAAATCCATAATACTTTCGCGGACCGGATCCGGCCCGCAGGCCGCCAGTTGGATCACGCTGACTTACGTTGTTGTCCACCGTGCGCCGTCTGAACCCGGACCGTCGTGGATCATTACATGTTCGTTGGTAATACTTAAAGTGTGGTTTAAAAACCTGACATAAAGGAACACAGTGCTTTGTAACAACACGTTGTCGTATGAACTATATCAGCATTTCTCAACCTATGGTATGCGTACCACTGGTGGTACGGGAGCCAATGTTGAGTGGTACGTGAACTAAGTAAGAAAATCAAACGATAATATTAACATAAATAAGTTTTCCCTGAACGCATTTGATTAGTGGTACATTTAATGTGTTAAATTACAATTAGTGGTACGCCAGCGAAAAAGGTTGAGAACCCCTGAATTATATGAATTTAATGGACTGATTTTAATATATCACTGATGATGACCTCATGAGGTTGAAACGCGTCTGGTACGATATAGTTGTTTTAAAGTGTAAAAGTTTGTATATGTGATTTTATATAGTGATGTCAAGAGGCCTGGGTGCTGAAGAGAATAAAAGATGGACAAAAGACTGTTAATTCCTCCGGAATTTTGGTAATCATCTACAAAAATAAACAGTGTCACAACCAAGGAGACCACAATCGACAATGAATAAAAAGTGTTAAGAAGTTCCATAATTTGTAATTTACGCCAAATATTTTAAGTCCGTCGATTAAAGGAAAATTAAATCCGCAGGGTATGGAGTCCTCCAATAAACTGTTACGACCTTTATAAACGTAATATTTACAAAAAAATGTTTGGAGTTTTTAAACTACTGACTGATAACTGACAGCTGAAGGCGTGTGCACGCGTAGTAAACAGATGTAACTAATGTATTCTTTCATAAGCGCTAGGTTGACAGTCCATCTACACACGTTTTAAGGTTGTATTTTCAATGTTTATTAAAATCCATTGTGTTTAGACTTTATAAAATCATCGTCAGGTAGTTCTCTTTAAGTGATCAAACTAATAGATACGAAGGCTACATTTAAACATGTTTGATTCAAATAACATTCGGTTGGATCCTTGAGATGTTGGGTAAAATATTAGAACGTAAGTAACTTCGAAGGCAGAATGAAATTTCCTTGTTGCACCCTAATTTATATTTATTGTCCTTGTGTAATCAGTCAGCAGAGGCTGGAATTATCAGAGTGACGTAGATCACATCATTATAGGTTTTTCTGGGTACTAAAATTCTAGATTCTTATTGATTGGTGTTTTATAGAAAAAAATATATAATAAATTTTGACTTTCAATGAAATTTGGAATCATAATACTTAATAAATTGCATCACTGTTCCACACAAAGGAGTTCCATTTCCGTCAATGTTGGCGGGTCTAGTCTACTCTCCAAAATGGTCTATCTGCTTCAGTAATTTACGTAATTAAAATAAACAATTGAATTAATTACTGTGTAAATGGAAAGCTCAAACAAGCTCCTTTACAGAATACCAACGTGCATGTCCATTTATACCGGCTTATGAGTGAAATACAATTATTTTGTAATGTCTGTGTTATAAAATACAACTGATTTATAATTTCATAACCTTTTGTTCTTCACGTACGTAACACAGCAATAAAATGTGTATTAATAATACTCACATCCACCATTCATTTTCATTCAGTAATCATTCTTGCTGGAATTGTTCTTCGTTACGGTCTATTGCACGCTATAATATTTGTTTCTGGTCGTGTTTAAATTAACACGGACGTTAATTTTCTAATTGGCTATTGATTACCGGAACGTGTTTCAAAAATATGTTGTCTGATGTTTGCTTATTATCTAACAAGACATTCGGAGAATGTAAAAAAAAAAAAACTATCGAAATGGTTTTAATTCCAATGCCTTAGTAACTTCACTACTGAAAAGAACTGAAAGTTGTTTGAACCGAGACGAATAATCTGCACGAGTGTGTTAACGGTGTCATAACAAGGGGAGAAAAATGCAAATTGTCAGTGAAATTAAATGGGTGAAATTAACTTTACAATTTTAACTACTGAAAAAGCAGTAATTTTTGAATAACTACCACATGAAGTGGAGTGCAATATTTTTTTTAGGGGATAATGTAAACATTCCTAGTTACATTATCTTCTACCAGCACCGAAAGGGGTAAAATACTATCATCCAATGACATATTACTGAAGAACGTATTGAAATAAATCATCACTGCACCTCTGTCGTATTGAGAAGAATCCTTCCTTAGATCAGAGTCGCGACTTAATTTTGTATGAAAGCGTGATGCATAGTACGAGATTTTCTCACGGCGGTAAAGACGATGTTTTCCTTCTGGGTGCTGTATATACAGTACACATATTATTTTATCCGTTATGTCGGTGTCCACATGCCATCATAACCCGGAGGGGCAACATAATCATGTATTTTCAGTATCTGTGAGATAGATCCTTTTTCCGTGAACACAATTTAACAACTTACACTTAATTCGCAGAAGAGCGAGCGCGCACACACACACAATATAAATTTCTTTATAGAAGCTTTTTTTTCGAATTCCAATAAAGGCTTGTAAAATTTTCGACGTCAAACAAAAATGTAACTGTCAGATTTCAAATTGCTAAATTAAAACAAACACCTGAATAGGAGTTGGTTAAAAACGCTTAATTAAACAGTTGGACACAGGCATTCAAAATATGCGCAGGTTTTTCGAAAATCATGAATCAAGTCATTCATCTCCCTTCTGCACGCCGAGGATTCCTGCCTCTTATCATTCAAAATGCGAGTGTTAAAATAGGAGTCTTCTTCTTTTCAACTTTTAAGCTTATTAAACCCTTCCTACGTTGCACAAACTGTTCGAGTCTTCTGTTTCGTGGAATTCGTAAATCTAGATTTCCTCAGGGTCTGTTAAATTCTGAAGTCACGACAGCATAAAATCGACAATGACAATTTCTTTTTTTCTTTTTTTTCGCAGGACATTTCTCGTCAAATATTCACCCAAGTCCTAGGCAGTGTGGTTCCTTGCCATGTAATTTTCTGCTTCTATTGTCCAATGCCAACCTTCTTGCAACCTCGTTAGGTAACTGTACCAATTTTCATGTACACAATAGCACCACTTTAAAATGGTGCTTCCCTCCAACTGGTACTTTATGTGGACTCTCTTAGGGCACGTGTTTCCGTGTACACCTTCAACACAAATTGCACAATAGTTTCCATTCTTGGTTTTATACACTGCTTTTTCTAAAATAAAAATATTTGTAGATTGACAAATATAATTACGTGTTTTTTTTGTTTTTTAGTGTTCTGTCTGGCGACAGGTCCATATGAACAGGATCCTTCCATCCTTTTCTCGGACTGGGACCTGTTCATATACGTTCTTGGCAGATGATCCAGAAGTGGTTTGCCATTGCCTTCTTCTGTGTGTGAATGGAGTAATTGTTGGGATGCCACGGAGAAACCAGGGAAGCCCCCGGAGGAAAACTCCGTGTTGCCTAGACCACGGCCTTGCCCAACACAAGTTATAAATTCGGGCACCGCCGGGAATCGAATCCGAGACCCCAGGATTACAAGGCCAGCGTTCTAACCGCTAGACCACCGTGGCTTGTTAATTACGTGTATGTGAACGTAATTCGATAGCGTCCGAAAATTTAAAAAACATGTGACTGGCTAAGTTTCTAACAAAATTTATAAAACGTTATTATAATGTATCATTGACAGGCGTACTGAAGTTTTAACCAATTATTGCAACACAAGTTCACATATTTCAAGGTAGGGCAAAGATAGGTAAAGTTAAACTACGTTAATGTAATTTACTTATATAACATAAACACCGAATAGCATGTTCAAGCTGAGGTATTCCTTATATCCTTACATAATTTATAAGTAAGTTTATTTATATGTCAATTCAAAAACGTGACCAAAAATGTGATATAGATTCCACACCAAGTACCATTCAGCCAATCAGCAGCGAATTGAAGTGATTCTTCTATTTTTTTCTGTCTACAAGGGGCGACATCTGTGAGAACACAAACTAATTTGCCACAAATATACCCTGAGGGCGACGTGTGGCTGAATTCATGTCTCGTAAGCGTCGAAAGAGAAAGGGAAAGTCTATAGACCTGCATTTGAATAATAAAAATCAATGCCACATTACGATTAACAGAGCCCCACATTTTAAATACTGTGATAGCTCTCGCCCCACTACGTTCCTCATAGTAATACATACAACCATTTTACATGAAACACTATCACCCCAACAACAGTTAATGGCATAAAGTAAAAGTCAGGCCTGAAGAAAATATATTACATTTAACTGACCTATAATATTGAAATCCGTCTTTCTCCTATTTTATCCATTAAGACTTAATGTTTTATTTACTGTACGCACTTGTCTATGGATTAACCTAGCGTAATAAGGTGGGGACATGTCGTTAAGTGGATTTATGTAACCAAAGTATTGATTTGTACGAGAAAAAACTGCGAATAAAATAAAGCAGTGTCACACAAGAGAGGTGAGGGGTTTCATTTGGTCAACCTTTTACTAGCCGATAAGAGTCACAGTATATATATATAAATCGGGTCCCTTCAACAGAGCATTCACAACTGAGTAACAGAGTGGTCAAGACTTGTCTTCAGCTGACAACAGAGAAAATGTTTACTTTCACAGTAAGTGCATATTTAACAAGCAATTTAACTTATTACACCCATAAGTAACACGAGGATGTAGGTTCAATGGACCAGAAATGAAAATTTCTTTACTGATCCAAATTAAAAATAGTAAATTTTTAAATAAAAATATAAAATTTCGTATATTTCGGTGTTTTGAAAAGCACAACGTTTCGGAAGTTATTTATACTTCCATCTTCAGGTAACAGGGATACAAAAGCCTGATCTACTGGGGTTCCTGATCAAGCAACTTCCGAAAATTCTTGTTTCCTTTAAACACCTAAATTATAGATACAGCAAAGAAATTACAGCACCTTTCATTCCATTGTTAGAAATCTTCAACTTCGTAAACAAATTAAATGTCCGTAAATACATCAGATTACATTGGAGCGTCATGTTATGATTTAAATACAATCAATATCACACAACACATGATAATTACAGGTTTTGTTGCGTAAACAATCGACGTCGGACGCTAGTAAAATAAGGACAGATTTGTAACGAAATACCAAACCTTGTAGTACTGAATTCTTGTATGAAGGCAGATAATAATAATTTTATTAGTCAGTCCGAAAAATACATTTACATTATGACAAATATTTCATATCTGATTTTTCTGTACATAACATTCCGGATAGAATTTCCTAAATAAAACAGCAATATTCAATCAACCCTGATCGATTTTATTTAATAAATACACTAAACCAAAAAATATAAAATATACACGAAGTAAGTATTTTAGCCATGCATTGACCTAACTTCATACCGCACAAATACTGCAAAATTCATGATGTCAGTAAAATTCCTATGGCCAGAAGCTAGTGCACGTATTTTATGAATAGAAATGCATTTTAGTAAGATATTCCACTCTATTAATTTCCATAATTTGTGGCTCAAATACGACTGCAATTGGTGAACTCATCGAGGCTCCATTTAATACACTTCGGCTTACCAATTTGTAGACACAAGAGAAGCAAAATTTAAATAACATGAACTTTAATTCTACATTCGCCCTTCAAAGAGATAGAAATATTTGTAACGTTGGAAAATATAAATTCTGTTCTCGACGTGTAGCCACTTGCTAAGACCATAAATCTTCTGAATTCCTTCAATTAATTTCTAACTACTTCTACAGCAATACTTATTATCGTGCAACCATTATCCTACCTTGTAGTCTCGAAGACCTGGGCGTTTACATGCTTTTTCTTTCTTCTTTCGGAATATGATGGAGTAACTACTTCAGATTCTCCACAGCAGCTGACGTTTCTTGTCTAAAAAATCGTAAACACAAAAATATTTCTATCATGCTATTGTTCACTGTAACGATTAATGTAGAGAAAATGATTTTAAGAAACTGAATGTAATTAATATTTGGAAGTTAGGCAAGATTTTTCCCTTCACGTAAGTCTGATTTCAGGGAGAGATAATCGTTGCGATTTTTAACGTTACAAATGAGTGAAAATAAAATTTCTGATATTTAAAGTCCTTTTTGAGACGAAAATATTCGCACAGCAAATTAGGAAATTCAACTATTTTCGGATTTCAAGTATTCTAAATAAAGTAACTTAGATTAGAAATTACAACGAGAAGGTAGCAAAAGTTACATGCCGAAGACACTTAAAAGACATGCTAATCATTAAATCTCAACATCAATATTCAATGATCAGATAAATAAAAGCGCAAAAAATCTTACAAGCCAAAAGGAATGATCAGATAAATAAAAGCGCAAAAAGTCTTACAAGCCAAAATATTTTATATTTTTATATTCATGATCACCATGAACTACAAACTGCGTCCAAAAAAGAATTTTTTTATAAATTCATTCATGGCAGATATTTATTTCCGAAAGAATATAAAAATAATCTGATAACGTTTTGTAGAATTTTGTGAGATATATTTCTGTTAAAATGGAGAGATAAACTAAATTTAATAAGATTATGTTCAGTTACGTTACACCTAAATTGTATCTACAATGTACGTGTAAAAATATTCAAACCTATTAATAAATAAACAAATTAAAACTCTGTAAGCAGTATTTCGGTTTTCAGCAGCAACAGAGTACACAATGCATATAATTCTTCAACAGACAGTCTAAATAACAACAATGTAGTTAAAATCAGAGAAATTAAAAAAGAACATAAGAGTAAGCTACTGTGAATCAAAAGGAAAGCTATCGACTTCAAACAGGAAGCTATGAAGTTCGAATATCGGTTTGGAAGACCGGCTCGTTTTAGTTCAAATTATATATGTATTTCCTCAGTCCCTCCAGCCAAATTCCAGGATAAAATTCTGAAGTACGTAATGACAGTACCAAGTTATTGCAATTTACAGCACATGATTGTGGTTTCATCTCTTGGATGCCGTAAACATACGCCTTTGATACAGCGTCACAAAACAATTTAAAATAAATACTGAAATAAATGCACAATAAATGTGTGAGAAATAACGGCATGTTTTCTAAAAATAATGGTCTGTAATAGTACATACTTAGACAAGCTATTAAAGAGTAAAACCATAATAATTATAATTATTGCTTCTTGATAAGTATATACATTGAAAGCAGCCTCTTAGCAACGCGGAACCTCATTAGTAATGCAGGTTCACGACCACAAGACCGAAGCTGGTTTTCCTTCGCATCTGACGGCCACTGCCCTCTTACGAGAATATTTAAAATAACACGTGACTAATGAAAGCAGAATTTATAGAAAATTACATTTCAAAATATACTTTTACTGTTTATGATTTGGTATTTAAATTTTGCCAAATTAGCATCATTCATCGCACAGTGTTTCAGACCTATCGGATTATATCTAGACATATATAAACCGAAACAAATAGCTTAATGAGTTGATAAAACAAGTCATTTAATAAAGTGAATAATAATATCATTCAATTGGTCGTATATTTCTATTT